GCCTGAATATCTTCTTTGGCAAAGTGCCTGTTTATATCTTTTGCCCATTTTTGAATTAGGTTATTTGACTTTTTGTTGTTGAGGTTTTGCAGTATCTTGTAGATTTTAGAGATTAGACGCTGATCGGATTTGTCATAGCCAAAAATTTTTTCCCAGTCTGTAGGTTGTCTTTTTACTCTTTTGGTGAAGTCTCTTCATGAGCATAAGTGTTTGATTTTTAGGAGATCCTGTTTATCTAGTCTGTCTTCTGGTGCTTGTGCATTGTTACTTATAGTTCTTATTGTGTTTATGCCATGTATTAGAGCTCCTAGTGTTCTCTCTATTTTTTCTTCCATGATCTTTATCGTTTTTGATTTTATATTTAAGTCTGATCCATCTTGAGTTAGTTTTTGTGCATGGTGTGAGGTATGGGTCTTGTTTCAGTTTTTTGCAGATGGGTATCTAGTTATGCCAGCACCATTTGTTAAAGAGACTGTCTTTTTCCCAATTAATGGACTTTGAGCCTTTGTCAAATATCAACTGCTCATTCGTGGATGAGTTTACGTCTGGATTCTCAACTCTGTTCCATTGGTCTATGTATCTGTTGCTGTACCAGTACCAGGCTGTTTTGACTACCGCGGCAATATAATAGCTTCTAAAATCAGGTAGTGTGAGGCCTCCCACTTTGTTCTTCTTCTTGAGTAATGCTCTATTTATTCGGGGCCTCTTCCCTTTCCATATGAAGTTGGTGATTTGTTTCTCCATCTCTTTAAAAAATGCTGGTGGAATTTGGATCGGGATTGCATTGTATCTGTAGATTGCTTTGGGTAGAATTGACATTTTCACTATGTTGAATCTAACTATCCATGAGCAAGATATGTTTTTCCACTTATGCATGTCTCTTTTAGTTTCTTACAGTAGTGTCTTGTAGTTTTCCCTGTATAGATCTTTTACGTCTCTGGTTAGATTTATTCCTAAGTATTTTATCTTCTTGGGGGCTATTGTAAATGGTATTGATTTGGTAATTTCCTCTTTGAGGTTCTCTTTGTTGATGTAAAGGAATCCAACTGATTTTTGTATGTTTATCTTGTATCCTGTGAAACTTTGCTGAAATATTCTATTAGTTTCAGTAGTTTTCTTGTGGATTCTTTGGGGTTTTCTGTGTATAAGATCATATCATGTGCAAACAGAGATACTTTGACTTCTTCGCTACCAATTTGGATGCCCTTTATTTCTTTTTCTAGCCTAATTGCTCTGGCTAGGACCTCCAGCACAAAGTTGAATAAGAGTGGTAATAGAGGGCATCCTTGTCTGGTTCCCATTCTCAAGGGGAATGCTTTCAATCTCTCTCCATTTAGGGTGATGTTGGCTGTTGGCTTTGTATAAATTCTCGGCTGTAATCTTTATGGGAGCAGATCACCAGGTCTTTCTCTTGTGGAGCTGCTGGGTGGTTTCGAACCGCCAACCTTTCAGTTAGCAGCCGAGCACTTAGCCATTATGCCACCAGGACTCCTTGAGTCATATAGCTTCATTATCTCAGCATAACCCATTGGAGAGCTAGCAGAGAACCCCCCAAGGGAGTGAGTCACCAGAAGATTTGTTAAGTTTTAATGGACTTTTTTGAAAGGTCCAGAATACTCAGTAGAATGTCAGAGTTTAAGTTCTTATGGTTAAGAAAGAATAGGCCACACAAACATCATAGTTTTTCTAAGGGTTGGCGCTGCCATTAATTATCAGTCTGCCCTAGTAAAATATAAGATCTTCTTTTCTTGGATAACCACCTACTCTCCGTAATTTTATATCTTTAATAAATGCAGTGTTCAAAAATATCTATAGGAAGTCATTTAGTGTATCCCCAACCCCCACACTGCTATTTACATCTCGCTGGCTGTACTTAGACAGGTCCCTAGGTGACGCAAACAGTTTGCACTGGACTGCTAACCTAAAGGTTGGGGGTTTGAACCCACCCAGCAGTACCGCAGAAGATAGGCCTGGCAATTTGCTTGCATTAAGATTACAGCCAAGAAAATCCTATGGAGCAGTTCTACTCTGTAACACATGGGGTCACAATGAGTCAGAATCAACTCAATGGCAACTAACAACAGCTGTACTTAGATCCAGGTTTCTAAGTATAGCTGAATATATGTACAACTCTTTTATACTTTACAGGCAGTAAACAAAAATGCATTTTCTAGAATGCATTAGAAAGTAAAATTGCTTTTGAAAAAGTGGTTTTCTCAAGTTAAAAATACACAATTGTCTTTGTCTCCGCTTCTGTCCTCTAAGTTTGGACTAATGAAAAGGAAATTTTCCTATGCTCTTGAGTCTCCATATCTTTCTTCTAATGATCTTGAATTTCTCTGTGTCCCATCGCAGGAGTCACTCTTCATTTTATTTTTGTTCTTATTAATCAGATCAACATCATATCTAGCTATGCTCCTGATAGTTCTGGATTTCCTGTTTGTTGTTTTTTTGTTTTTAAGTATATCAAATATCTCCCCTCCTCCAGACTTTGTGATTTAGAGAAATGTTGCCTATCTTAAAGATAAATTTTTTCCATGACAATATGTTCATATTTGCCTTCTCTTTTTACTTGATTTTCTCCTCTTATTTTTAGTAATTATTACTAGATTATGAGAATGGGTCAAATATTTGGTACTGGTGTAAAGTTACATAGTAAAAGGTTAATTGACATTTTATATGTTCATTTAGAAAATGTATGATTATTTTAATTTACATATACTTTTTTTATCCCCCCTACCCTTCCTGTCAAACTTGCAGACCATTCTTGGTGCCATGAAGGATGTAGTCAAACACAGAACTTCTATTTTCATAGCACATAGATTGTCAACAGTGGTTGATGCAGATGAAATCATTGTCCTGGACCAGGTAAGAGATTTTAACTTTAATGTTTATTATTTGAAGATCATTGTAAATTGTTACAAATACAGGCAACTGAAAAATTGTTTCTAATGAAATATACAGAATTTGTGTTCTTTGGATGAGATTGAATCCTGATAGGATTCCATTTTTAGACCCTTTTGATAAGAAATAATATATGTCATTTCCAAAAAGGAGTAAACTGTATTAACTCATTGTTTATTAAAGTATTAAAAGCAAAAGTTAGAACAAAACTTGTTGCCATTGAGTGGATTCCAACTCGTAGTGACCCTAAAGGACAGAATAGAACTGCCCCGTAGGGTTTCCAAGGCTGTAAAACTTTATTGAAGCAGACTGCCACATCTTTCTCCCTAGGAACAGCTGGTGGGTTCAAACTCCTGACCTTTCATTAAGCAGCTGAATGCTTTAACCACTGCACCACTAGGGCTCATGAAGTTAGAACAGGAAAGCATTAAATGCTCATTTTTCTAATACCTATACATGCCCTTGATGTCTAAAAAAAAATACTATAAAATAAACTGGTCATTTTCACACATGGCCATTTTTATTTCATTGTTTTTCTTTACGGGGCAAGTAAGGAAAAAGGACAGCCTGTTTTATGTCTTCTGAGTTTGTTAGCTCTGAGGACTCAGATTTTTCCCCTTCTACAGAGTTTTGATTTTTTTTTTAAATTGATGGAGAATGTGTAGTAGTCTTGTGTGCTCAGTTACCTCCCCAGCTATTTTTGTAATGACTTCCTCCTGGTTGTGCATGGACACTGAGGACTCTTGTTTCCCAGCCTGTGCACTGCTTTTGTTTCAAAAGAGATTTCCCTGTACTCCAGGAAGAAAGAGGAAAAGGGGCAGGGGAAGAGTAGGAAAAAAAACCAAAAAACACCTCACCCAGTTTTGCCTCTTGGGTCTGTGCTAAGGGATCAGCCCAGGGTGAAAGCATAGGTTCTTCTTAGGTATTTGGTTTGTGGGTGTTTTATCTTGATCATGCATGTGGGTTTCTCAATTCTCATGTTTACACACTGTTTGTGAAGCACTAAATTCTGCAAGAAACCTCATATTGGCTTCTCCTTCAGCCCATAGAATTTTAATTGTGTGCTCCATGCATACTGCTCAGTCCCTGGCAGTTAAGGGCAGTCACAGCCTTCAGGCATTGCTCGCTGCTCCTCTGTCAAGCCCTCCTCCCCCATGTCAGCTCCAAGGAAGGCCAAACCAGGAGTTTACCTTGCTTCAGTCATTTCAGGCACCTCTCAGACAGATCAGAGCAGACATGTACAATTGTCCACTAGCAGAGTGTGCTCTGCTTACTCCAGAGCAAGAGATCATGTACCCTCTCTGAGAGTGTGGTACGTGGTCTGCCACTGCTGCCACTGCAGCAAATCCAAGACGAGGGAGGGATGCTGGCAGTAGAGGGGAAAAAAGGTTTTCCTATTGTTTAAAAGTTGTCTTTTTCTTAATTTAGTGTTCACATAGTTGCTGCAACTCTCCAGTTGTTTTCTAGAGTTTTTACAGAGTTGAGACTACTGATTTCTGGTTGTTTTTCTTAGTGGTCATGGTGGTGGTGAGGGTAAGAATGTGGAACTGCTTATGTCGCCATCTTCCAGGAAATCAGTTTCTATTAGTTTTTGATAAGGTTTTCTTTAGATATTTGTTTGTTTGTTTTGATAAATAGAAAAGTATAAAATACATAATCCATGGGGACTTTTGTGCCAATGAAGTGACCCATACATACAAAGATTGAGGGCTAAACTCTTAAGGTTCCAAAGGATTTCAAATAGTAGAGCTAGATAGTCCTTTTTTAGACTGCCCAGCCAATTGGGAGCCTTAAAATAACTATTCAGAAGTGGGCACAGACAAATTTCAAAGTTATTTTACTTAAGGAAATATTTGTAAAAGTTCTATAATCAGGAGTACCGGTTAAGGTGACAAACTTCCTTTTGTCTCCCAGCATGTTTAACAGTAGCTATTAAGAGGCAAAGTAAATGTAGATCACAGTTTAGAATCTGTCCTAGTTTCTTAAGGCTGCCATGTCAAAATACCACAAAGTGAGTGGCTTTGAAGAACAGAAATTTATTGTCTCACAGTTTTGGAGACTAGAAGTCTGAATTCAGGATGTTGACAGGGCTATGCTCTCTCTCTCTCTGTTGGCCCTAGGGGAAGATCTTTCCTTGTCTCTTTCAGTTTGTGGTTTGTAGAGAGATCCTCACATGCTGTCTTCCCCTGTGTGACTTTTCCTCCCTGTCTGTTCTCCCCTTCTGAAAATTCTACTCAGAAGGGATTAGGATTAGGACCCACCCTACTTGAGTATGACCTCTTTTAATTTAACTGAAAACAACAACCACAAAAAAAAAAAAAAAAAACCTGTTTCCAAACAACATCACATTCAAAGGTATAGGGGTTAGGACTTGAACATGTCTTTTTGGAGGACAGTTTAATCCATAACAGAGTCTGTACCATGTCTACGTGGTGTTAACTTTAATAGTCTTTATTAACAAAATAGCTACTGATGAAGGTAACTTTTCATGGAGGTATCTTTTTTATTTCAAAGATCACATGAGGATTTTGGGGTATTATTTTTACATCCTTTAAATGTTGATATAACTAAAAGTGCTTTTGATTTCGATATTTGCTGATTACAGAAAATATCACCTTTAAAAACATTTAACCTTCTCTTTCTGCCCTTCAAAATGAAAAATAAAACTTTAAAATTTTATTTCCTTTAAATAAAATGGTTACAGTGTATGGAATTGCATAGCTATTTGTTCACTGGACTGGGTAGTTTGACAAATGGAGAAAGCATTCCTACCTCAATTTTTTTTCCACTTCTACTATGGATGGGGAGGAATTGTGAGAGGTATTTTAATGAATGCAAATCCTTGAAAATCCTTAGAGATTATTTTCAGTTATTGTGCTAGTTATATGACCTCTTTCTGTGTTTATCTTGTTTTTACTTCTTAGGGAAAGGTAGCTGAACGTGGTACCCACCATGGCTTGCTTGCTAACTCTGGCAGTATCTATTCAGAAATGTGGCATACACAAAGCAGTCGTGTGCAGAACCATGATAACCCCAAATGGGATGCAAAGAGAGAAAATATGTCCAAAGAGGAGGAAAGGAAGAAACTACAAGAAGAAATTGTCAACAGTGTGAAAGGCTGTGGAAACTGTTCCTGCTAAGTCACATGAAACAACTTTTCTTTCTTTCTTTTTTTTTTTTTGACTGTACATTTGCGCTGAAGCAGAATTGTTTTATTTTTAAAAATCATACATTCCCATTTTCTGTAACCCTTCTTTTAGATAAGATTTATTTGGAAAGGGATTTTAGTTTTACATCTTTCCTAATCTATTAAATGTGTTGTCTATATTTATCCCCAAAGTATTTTCTTATTACTGTCTCAGTTGTGCTCAAAGAATAATTTTTGTTAGCATTTGATTTTACCCTATTTCCATTTTTGACACCCAACATCCATTTGATATCCATCACCGGATGAATCAGATTGGTTTCTAAATGTTTGTATAGTTTTTAAAAATCTCCTTTATGCTGACAATGTAAATGGAAAATGTCTGTTTCTTAAAATTAAAAAAAAGAGAGAAAGAAAAAAAGGACAGTGTAGTTTTATTGTTTCTCCTCCTTCCCAGTTGAAATACTTCAGTGATCTGAAAATGAATTCATAAGCACATCTAAACTTGTCAGAAATAGACACGCATTTAATTCAAATGTTTTACTTGATAGATACCTATGCTTACATTTTTAAAAAGTTTTTGTGATTACGTACCATTTTGCAGAAAAACTTTAATTCTCGTATTGGCATGTAGAATATTCTTCATCATTAACTAGCACCGTAGCTGTCATCTAGTAACTGGAATTTTATTTTTCTATCAGAATGAGATATTGCTTTTGTTTTTGACCAAAGTGTATAGTTTTCTTATAAGTCTCATAAGCCCTGAGGTGACTTGACAGTTGCTACACTGGGAATGATCTAAAAATCTTGGGAACTTAATGGCATTTTCCATTTCCATATTAAATGCACTGCTTTCACTATCTGAAATTATACAGAGAAACAACTGAAGGAGGTGTGTGCATACATACGTGTGTGTGCACATGCTCACGCATGTGTATAAAGCAACATTCACTTAATTATAAAGACCTTTAGGGAAATAGGAGAGGATTGTGAATCTTTGTTGATACTTCAGAATTACTTGATTATGAGATCTTATCTTCCTTTTTCAGTACTTTAATGAGTTCCTTTCAGCTTGATGTTAGCAGCAAGGAGGAACCCAAATAATATAATCAAGTTTTACCTGCTAGAAATAATTAATATAATGTTGATATGTATTTACTCAGTAATCTCCTCATTTCCAGTTTTAATTTGCTTTGTTTGGTAGTAATCATTCAATTTGCAAAACTTGTGTGTATCATGAATGGCCACATAGTTGTTGTGTGTTGTCAAGTTGATTCTGACTCATAGCGACCCTATAGGTCAGAGTAGAACTGCCCCATAGGGTTTCTTAGGCTGTAATCTTTACAAGAGCAGATTACCAGGTCTTTTCTCCTGTGGAGCAGCTGTTGGGTTCGAACTGCCAATCTTTTGGCTAGCAGCTGAGCACTTAACCATTGTGTCATCAGGGCTTCTACATAGCTATATGTAATAAGGTTTTATTTTCTCAGAAAAGGGCCTAAGGTACTTATTTTATTGATTTGTGATTTTAATGTGTTTTAAATAATAATTTGGTATGGAAAAGACTAATATATTTGTGTTTTGTTTTGTATTGTTGCAATTGGCGGGTGGATAGCTAAACTTACCTTACTTGGATGTCCAGTTTCGTTAGATATAAAAGCAAGTCTGGGTAAGTAACCAGAAGCCAGTATTTCATAGTCTTTGATGTGATAATATTTGGCACAGGATGGATCTTGATTTTGAAGTTGGAGTTAACACTGAGGTGCTTAATCAACTGCAAAATGTTTTTTTGGACGCTACTTACTCTGAAGCCATAGCCATTATTATTCTTCTGAGACAAAAGGTACTTCCTTTGATTAAATGAGCTGCATTACTGGAAATGTGGTTAAAGTCTAGTTAGAAATTTTGCTTCTCTGTTAATTCCTTCTATATATTTCCGAATATGCTGATGAAAATAATTTATCTTAATTGTATAATCAAGCTACTGGGAGTGAAGTAACTATTAGTAATATTCATTTTGAAGTGTGAATAGCAATGTTCAAAGTAAGTGATTCTGTGGTATTGGGAACATTTAGTCAAGGAAGAGTAGGAATGTTTTAGGATGGCAGTTTCTCCACTAAGAGATTTGAAGCTATTTTCTTTTCATTTAATTGGAGATGGTCCCTAGGCCATTGGGTCATTGTGGTCATTAAGTAGTATTTTTAACTAATAAAAACTAAATTACCTGAAAAACTCAGTTATTATAAGGGTCATAATTAAGTTTTAAAAGCTTTTCTCTTAACCCCATTATATTAAGGCAGTTCTGTACAATAAAATAATAGATTAAAATGAAAGAAAAGCTTCCTAGGATTATTCGCTCAGAAGAAATACCAAGAAAAAGGGCATTTAATTATAGTGTATTAATTATACATTACAGTATTACATATTCACATGAAAGGATAAGGTGTATAAACTTCTAGATCAGTGTTGCAAAATAATTTTTTTTAATGTATAAGAATTAATAAGCTACAGTCTTGGAATATGGACTCTCAAAATGGAGCAAGTTGATTGGCTTTTATTTCTTATATCCCTTTATTTTAAAGATTAAAAATTTACTTTCTTCCTAAGGGAATCACAGTTTACAAAATTAAATTAAAACCAAGGTGATTTGGGACCATTAAAACAGGGCCAGATGCCTTCCTGAAGGTTCTTAACATAGAAATATCTTGGTGAGCAGATGGGCTCATTTGGAAATTCTGGAACAGCTCAAGTCTGAGGTTCACTTAGCATTTGAACGAACAAACTCAAGAAATGCATTTACTTTTCTTCGGCAGGGATTTGCACCTTTTATATATCTTAAGATAAAGTTTTGCTTGTCTTTCTCTTAGATGTTGACAAAGCTTAGTTTGTGAAAGTGGCAGTTTTAATATGTTTTGCTTTAAAGGCAAGGTATTTAAAAAGTGTTTATGATTCCTTGTTCCTGGATCACTTTGCCCATACTGCCCATCTTACCTTCCTAATTGCTGAATATGTCAGTGAGTAGCAACTTTTGCCAGTGTATATTCATTATTTTCTTACCTTGTAGATTAACCCCCAGATGTTCTGTTGTAGATTTGTAGTTGACAGCATTTAAAAATGTTTGCAATTGCAGTTTTTTTTAAATTAGAGAAAGATGCTTTCTCTCCTTTGAGTATATAGATTTTGAATGTAAATTGTGTAGTAAATGACAGTATTAAATCAGATAAGCTTATTAAAAACTAGTTAAAATACTCAGCAAAGGAGGCCCTTTACCTTAGTTTTAATTGTTTATAGTAATCTGTAAAGATAATCATTGTAGCATAAACAAATTGTCTTTGTGACTAGAAATGAGTGTCCCATTAAAGCAACTCTTTTCTGAAATACACAGGAAAAACTGATATTTTATCATTCATGTACTCAGAATAAGTAGAGATAATTAATATACACTCTGGGAGTATATCCTTACAGCCCTCTGCAGAAGGTAAGATCTTGGAATTGTTTGAGAGAAAATAATTGTTTGCAGAGTTCATGATGTGGGTAAATTGGTAGCAAATTACAGTGCTTTCAGTTAGCATTAAGCAGTCATATTTTTGATGACCAATCAGTGGAAGACTAGTTTCTATTACCCCTGGCTTCTCAGTTCTAACGATTAGGAAGAAAACCTTTGGGAAAGAGGAATGTCTTGACTGAAAACTGCATTGAAGTGGCATTTTGATTAGCTAGGTAGAGTTGGAGAATGAAGTGCATATTCTAATTAAAAACAAGTTAGAACATTTTTTGTTTAAAAAAAAAGTCAATGGATTAGTTTCCATATGTCCTGTTCTCACACAGCTACCATAGAATGTTTTTCACTGATGTATTTATGACTTTCTATTTCATTTCCATTTATATTTCATAAAATCTTAGGATTTTGAAATTCGAAGGAATTTAGAAGTCACCTAATACAATTTCTTCATTCTACAAATGAGGAAAAAGAACTTGACGTAAAGTCATTGAGCTTGCTAGAGGCCAAGTTGGGATGAAAACCCTGGGCTCTTGACACCCAGTCAATTTCTCTTTATGCTGCACCACATTTCCACTAAGAAGTTACATTCAGAAGAATATTGAAGGGCAGGACTTCTAGAATGGTGGAGTAAGGAACTCAGTGGACCCTCTCTCTAGCAAAAAAATTTAAAGCCTCTGGAAATTGTCCTAAGGGCATACAGCAAATGAGGAAACATTCATTCAAGAAAAATCTACTAAATCTTAGTAAGAAGAGCAAGAGTGTGGCATTTAAGCTACAACCTGCTCCCATACTCCCCCAAACCAGGTCATTTGTTAAAGAAGATCTGCCCCAGGCACTTTATTCTGGGCAGGTGTGATGAAGACGATGGGGAGTGGGGAGAAGGGCTCTCTCTTCCCCTAGCTCCCAGTTTGGGGCTATGATTTCACCCTGGCAGGGGCAGGCTGCCTATGTTTCCCTTCCTCCCATCAGCCTCATGTTAAACACAATTCAGGCAGCACTTGTAGGGTGGAAGCATCACTTAATGTGCAGAAGGCCAAGAATACGGGGGCCTTGGTCTCTCCCACCCCAGCTTGCTCATAGATTAAAAGTTTCGCATAGGAGAGACAAACTGAGAATACCAGAGGCAGCCATCCCTGACCCCTGCCAGAGAAAGTGTACCCCTATCCCCAGCTGCAATTCAGTGGTGCGGGGGTTCCGCAAAAGGGGAAAAGACAGTCCATAAAGACAAAAAACTCCACAGGTCTGTTTGAGGGGACTATTTGGAACAGCACTTGGAGAACTCTATCACTAAGGACATTGTCGAAAACAATGGAGATCTTGATGGAGATCAGTTGGGAGGAGCTGGTACAAGCAAAACCTCAGAGCAGCCAGAAGTTTAATAGAAATAGGAAAAGAGGGAGCCAAGAAGAACTCTCCTGGGAGCACAGACAACTTTGAAGTTGAAAAGGTTGTACATATGCACTAGGCTGCACCCATTCAAGAGGAGCCTTGGTGGTGCAGTGGTTAAAGTGCTCAGCTGCTAGCCAAAAGGTCAGTGGTTCAAACCCACCAGCTGCTTTGCAGGAGAAAGATGTGGCAGTCTGCTTCTGTAAAGACTTAACAGCCCTGGAAACCCTATGGGGTAGTTTTACTATGTTCCATAGGGTCACTATGGGTCAGAATTGACAGCAAAAGGTTTGGTTTTGGTTTTTGCACTCATTCAGGAGTAATCAGAGGAGGACATAGGGTAGACTTTAAAGCATTCCTAGTATACACAGACCCATCAACACAGGGCAAAATCTTCACTCGCACAGGGGTTTTAAAACAACCTCTGGCCAAACACTAAACAATAAGCTACTCTGACCAGGGTTGACTCCCAAAAACAGGCTAAAAAATAAAATCACACTTATCCCTGTTTGTCTGGAAGACGATGTTCATGTCCAAGGCTGTGCATGCTTGGGAACAATCAGAGGAAACCTCTAAGCTACTAGTTCCTAGCTGAACATGAGGCAAAAAGTGTAAATTCTCAATTATAATAGCAGCCTGTAAGCACACACACATCCAATGGTAAAGAGTAAGACTCTTACTGTCCATTTAATGCCTTAGTCTGACCCAGGGGCAACCCCTAGCTAGCGAGACTAAATTATAGAAATAAGAGGGGGAAAGAGTCTAAGCAGAAACATCCAAGGCTGCACAGTGGAGGGTAAATAGGCTTCACAAAATTAGTGCACCTAAGTCACTGAACAAGTAAACCACCAAATGACAACCTCCTATGGAGGGAAGGAAGATCAGTATCCAGAGTTGCTACAAAATTTATCTAAAATATCCAGTCTACAATAAAAAAAATTACAGGACATGCAAAGAGACAGGAAAGTGTGAACAATAGACAGGAAAGCAGGCAGTAGAAACTGATTTTAAAGGGACCCAGATGATAAATGTAGCAAAAATTTCTAAATATCTCTTTAAAATTTGTTTAAAAAACTAAAGGAACTCATGCTAAAAGAATTAAAAGATGTGATGACAGTGCCTCATCAAAGAATATCAATAAAGAGAGAAATTATAAAGAATCAAATGGAAACTCTGGAGTTGAAAAGTACAATAACTGAAATGAAATTTTCACTGAGGAGCTCAATAGCAGATTTGAGCTACCAGAAGAAAGAATCAGTGAACTTGAAGAAAGAAAATAGAGATGATACAATCTGAAGAGCACAGAGGAAAAAGAATGGTGAAAAATAGAACCTCCGGGAACTGTAGGACAACATTAAGTACACCAGTGCATAATGGAAGTATCAGAAGAGAGAAGAAAGTGACAGAAAAAAAAAATATTCAAATAAGTGGCCAAAACTTCTATATTTGATGAAAAACTATCTACAAATAAAAGAAGCTCAACAAATTCCAAGTGAAATAAACACAAAGAGATTCACACTCAGCACTCGGACATGTCGTAGTCAAAGTGTTGAAAGCTAAAGATAAGGAAAAAATCTTGAAAGCAGCAGGAGAAAAATGACTCATTGCATACAAGGAAACCCCAATATGATTAACAGCTGAAGTCTCATCAGGAGCAGTGAAGACTAGAGAGGGACTACATATTCACATTGCTGAAAGTAAAAAACTGTCAACCAGGAATATTATATCCAGGAAAACTATCTTTCAAAAATGAAGGTGTGATAGTCATTCCTAATAAAAATAAAATTCGTTGCTGGCAGACCTGCATTACAAGAAATACAAAGAAAATCCTTCAGACAAAAAGCAAGTGACAGCAAACAGTAATTCAAATCCACTCAAAAAATCAACACCAATAAAGGCAATCATAGGTAGTTAAAGAAAACAGTATGATTGCATGTTTCTTCTTTTTTCTTTTAAATTACTTTAAAAGCATCTGCATAAAATTATATTATTCTTTTGTTGGAGGAGGACACAAAGTTGACTTGGAGTAATGAAATGACACCAGATGATATCCTGAATCCACAAGAACAAATGAAGAAAACCAGAAATGGTAAATAACAAAGTTAATATCACAAACTCTGAATATATACATTCTCTTCTCTCAGCTTTTTAAAACTACATAAGATTATATAAAATAATCATTACAACAACAATGTATTGTTGGGCTTTTTACAGATATGTGTGACAATGTTGTTATTGTGTGCCATCGAATTGATTCCGACTCATAGCAACCCTATAGGACAGAGTAAAACTGCCCCATAGGGTTTCCTAGGCTGTAATCTTTATAGTAGCAGATCATTCATTTCTCCTGCAGAGCCACTGGTGGGTTTGAACCGCTGTCTTAGTTATGTAGTGCTGCTGTAACAGAAATACCACAAATGAATGGCTTAAACAAACAGCAATTTATTGTCTCACAGTTTAGGAGGCTAGAATTCCAAATTAAGGGTGCCAGCTCCAGGGGAAGGCTTTCTCTCTCTGCTGGTCCTGGAAGAAGGTTTTTGTCATCTGTCTTTCCCTGGTCTAGGAGCTTTTCAGCGCAGGGACCCTGGGTCCAAATGATGTGCACTCCTGGCTCTTCTTGCTTGGTGGTAATGAGGTCCCCCTGTCTCTCTGCTCACCTCTCTCTTTTTATATTTCAAAAGAGATTGACTCAAGATACCTAATCTTGTAAATTGAGTCCTGCATCATTAACATAACTACCTCTGATCTTGCTTCATTAACTTCGTAGAGTTAGGATTTACAACACATAGGAAAAATCACATTAAATGAAAAAATAGTGGTCACACAATACTGGAATCATGATTCTCTCTAGTCAGTATGACACGTTTTGGAGACGCAATTCAATCCATAACAACGTCTGACCTTTTCGTTAGAAGCTGAGTGCTTAACCATTGAGCAACCCGGGCTCCTTTGTGTAACAATAATGGTACAAAAAAAGGGAAGACTGAATGAAGCTATATAGCAGTAAAGTTTCTATATTTCACTGTACCTAATCAGTATAAATACGAAGTAAATTCTGATCAGTTAGGATGTACATTATAACCTGTAGAACAACCACTAAGAAAATAATTCTAAAAAATATACTTAAAAAATCATTAAAGGAGAATTCTGGAAAGATGACGTGAATAGGTGTAAGTTCCTGAGCCTCCACACATGTACACCAAGAAACACAAGGAGAGATTTGTACTTGGCCCTGAGGGACTTCGAATTGGTGGGCAGAGGACATGGAGCTGCAGATGCATTGAAGTCAACAGTGAGTACCATATGATAGGAAAAGTGCTTTGTCCACTTCCTGCCCCTCCCCCTCCCCCTCCTGGAACTGCAGACTTACAGATAGCCGTGTAGTGGCGCACAGACAGCACTGGTGGAGCCCACTCTCCTGACCAACCCACCCCTTCTCAGTGCAACCGAAAGACACTTGCTGCATTCAGTCAACCCACGGCTCACCTGAACATGGGAACGGTCCTAATATCTGGCTCTGAGATAAGTGGGCCCTCACAGAGTGGGGAAAGGAGTGGCAAACAATGAAAGAATGCTGCATCTGAGCCTACAGGTGGTTCATTTGATGTGGGCTATTTTTGACCAGTTTTGGAGCTACTAAATGACTGAAAATGTGGTCACAGAAACAATCCACACAGAGCAGGGGAAGAAGGGGAGGGAGCAGTAACCAAAGAAAAAATGCTGTGCCCCTGGAGGAAGGATTGATTAGCGTGTGTTCTTTGTTCTTGGGAGTGTTGAAAGATGGAAACCTTGGTCTGGACTTCTTAAAACAGGGAGAGGGAATGGTAAGTAAATTTGAATGCTCTGCCACCTAGGAGTTGCAGAAAGTAGCAATGTAAATTCTACTGAATACTTGAGAGAATTGAGATAGCTAACACCTTGTAAAATCGTAATATCCCAGCCTCAACAAAAAATCACAGCACATAAACTGAAAACAATGGCCCATCCAAGTGAACAGGACGGTGGGAGACAATTCTCATTTATAGAACTCCAAATAATGAACAGATTGGGAGATTATACAACAATATTAATGAAGCTCAAAGAGCTAAGAGAAAACACAAGGAACTAAAGGAAGAAAGGAAAATAGTGCACGAATAAAATGAGAATTTAAGTAAAGATATAGACTGTAGAAAAATAAACACTGTAACTAAAAGATGACTGAAATGAGAAGCTCATTGAAAGAATTGAACAACAGATTTGAGCAGGCAGAAGAAAGACTCTTTAACTAGAGGATAAGGCATCAAAATTATATAAGCTGAAGAGCAACTAGTAAGAAGACACAACACTCCTGAGCACAGTTTAATGGAATTATTGAGATAGTATCAACCAAACCAGCATATACATGATGAGAATCCCAGAAGAGGACAAGAGAAAGAAGGACAAAGAATATTTGAAAAAATGACAGAAAACTTTCCAAATATGGTGAAAGACATAAACCTATAAATCCAAGAAGCTCAACGTACTCCCAAGTAAGATAAACTGAGAAATCCACACTGAGACACATTTTAATCATGCTTTCTAGAACTGAAGACAGAATTCTGCAAGTAGCTACAGAAAAATGAATAGTTCTATACAAAGAAACTTTAATAAGATTTCTCCTAAGAAAACTTGGAAGCCAGAAGGTAATGGAGTGATATGTTCAAGGTGCTGAAAGAATAAAACTGTCAACCAAGATTTCTATGTGCAGCAAAACTGTGAAGAACTAGGGTGAAATTTAAAAAAAAAAAAATACCAGCTAAACAAAAGCTCAAAGGAGTTTGGAATCACTAGACCTACCTTTAAACAGATGCTGAAGGGGGTCCTTCAGATGGAGAAGAAAGGAATCTAGACAATAACTTGAAGACATACATAGGAAAAAAATGTTTCCAGCGGCAAATATAAGGGCAAGTCTTAAAGTGTTCTTGCTTTTTTCTTTGGTAATTCTAGTGGTTATGTCTTTTATACTTTACAGTGATGAATGAAAAATAAACATAAATGCGCCAAGGCACATGATGTATAAAGATGTAATGATAGCAACAACATAAAGGAGGTGGGGTGGGGGACCAATATAGGTGTAGAATTTTTGTATGTTCCTAAAGGTAAGTTGGTGTCATGGATTGAATTATGTCCCCCCAAAAATGTGTGTATCAGTTTGGCTGAGCCATGACTCCTGGTGTTGTGTGATTTTCCTATATGTTGTAAATCCTGCTTCTATGATGTTAATGAGGGAGGATGGGCAGCAGTTGTTGGTGAGGCAGGACTCAATCTACAAGATTGGATTGTATCCTGAGGCAATCTCTTGAGATAGAGAAGTGAGCGGAGACGGGTACCTCATACCACCAAGAAAGCACTGCCAGGAGCCTGGGGTCCCTGTGCGGAGAAGCTCCTACTCTGGGGGAACACTGATGAGAAGAAGGCCGACAGAGAGAGAGCCTTTCCCTGGAGCTGACACCCTGAATTTGGACTTTTAGCCTACTTTACTGTGAGGAAATAAACTTCTCTTGTTAAAGCCATCCACTTGTGGTATTTCTGTTATAGCAGCACTAGATGACTAAGACAGAATTTAGTACCAAGAGAGTGGGATGCGGCTCTAACAGATACCTAAAATGTGGAAGCAGTTTTGAAACTGTGAATGGTTAGAGCAGTGGCAGCAGCAGAGGACCACCAGCAGCAGAGAAGCAACAGTGGCAGAGAACCAACAGCAGCAGAACCAGGAGACCAGTGTGAGATGGCGCTGGAGCTGACCCACGGAGCGAGAGAGCTGAGTGCTTGTGTGCAGGAGGCTTCCTGGCAGAGTGAGGTGCCTCTGGTTACTTATCGGTGGAGCTAGGCTACAAAAAAAAAAAAAAACGCCCTGCAAAATCTGGCAGTATTAGAGGAAATAAGGGACAATAAAGGTAGGAAAAAAAAAGAAAAACCCAACGACAAAACGTCAAAAGTAAGTTTTTTTCTTACCAGGAAGTACAGTGAACATAAATGGACTAAATGTTCCACTCAAAAGGCAGATAGTGGCAGAATGCATTAAAAACAGCATGACCCAACTACGTAGTGTCTACAAGATACACATCTTAGACTCAAGGACACAAAGAATGAAAGTGAAAGGATGGAAAAAAATACTCCATGAAACTGGTAATCAAAAAGAGCTGGGGCGATGATTTTAATATCAGACAAAATAGACTCTAACTCAAAATCTGTTATAGGAGACAAAGAAGGATGATGTTTCATGATGAAAGGCTCAATTCATCAAGAAGACAATTATATATGCACCTAACTTTGTAACTCTGAAATATGGAAAGCAAACTGATAGAATCAAAAGGTGAAGTAGTCAGCTCTACAATAATAGTTGGATACTTCAATAATGGACAGATCATCTAGAAAGAAGATCAGTAAGGAAATAAAGAACCTGAACAAAACTATAAATCACCTAAACCTAACAGACATATAGGTACACTCCACCCAACAAGAGCACAATATACATTATTCTCCAGTACACATGAATCATTCTCCAGGATAGGACATATGGTAGATCACAAACCAAATAAATTTAAAGATTAAAATTATACAAAGTATCTGCTCCAACCAGAAAGGATTGAAATTGGAAATTAATAACAAAACTGGACAGTACACAAATACATGAAAATTAATAACACAATATTAAAACCAGTGAGTCAAGGAAGAAATCAGAAAATAAGAGTAGAATGAAAATGAAACCACAAAGTAGCAGTGAGACAGAAAAAGCAGTGCTCAGAGGAAAATTTGTAGCTGTAAATGCCTACATTAAAAAAGAAGAGAAAATCAATAACCTAACTTTACAACTTGAACAAGAACAAAGCAAAGAAAACCCAAAGCAACAGGGAAGGCAGTAGCAAAGATCAGAGCAGAGAGAAATGAAATGAAGCACAGAAAAACAATAGCATCAATGAAACCAGAATTTGGTTTTGGAAAAAGATCAATAAAATGGACAAACCTCTAGATAAACTGACAAAAAAAAAAGACGCAAATATACAAAATGGGAACATTACAGCCGACCCTACAGATATAAAAAGGTTCAGAAGAGAATACTAAGAAAACTTGTATGCCATGAAAATAACCTAGATATAAATGGACAAATTCCTAGAAACATAAAACTTTGTATATTGACTCAAGAATAAGTACATCTCATCAAACACATAACAAGTGAAGAGATTGAATCAATAATGAAAATCTCCCAAGAAAAGTTCCAGACCTGGTGAATTCACTGGGGAATTCTTCAAACAGTTATGGAAGAAATGATCCCAATCCTTCTTAAAATTCTCCCACCCCACCCCCAAAGAGAAGAGGAAGGCACACTTACTCATTCTCTGAGGTGAGCACTACTGTGATGACAAATGCAGACAAAGACACCACCGGAAAATAAAACTGCAGACCAGTATCCCTTGATGATAATAGATGTAAAAATCCTTAATGTTAGCAGACCAAATTTAAAAGCATACTGAAAGGATTATTAACCATGATCAAGTGAGATTTGTTCCAGAAATGAAGGGGTGCTTCAACATTAGAAAATCTGTGATATACACCACATTAATAGAACAAAGGAAATGAACCACATAATCATCTCAGAAAAGGCATTTGAAAAATTCCAACACACTTTCATAATATTACAAAAAAAAAGGAAGAGAGGAAATTTCTCAGTCTGATAAAGGGCATTTATGATAAACCTACAGCTAACATCATACTCAATGGAGAAAAACTGAGTGCTTTCCCCTTAAGATCAAGAAGAAGACCACTCTTGGTTCAGTGCCTGCTCTAACCACTGCTATTCAATGTTGTGCTGAAAGTTATAGCCAGAGTAATTAGGGGAGAAAAAGAAATAAAAGTATCCAAATTGCTAAGAAAGAAGTAAAACTATCCCTTTTTGCAGATGACATTATGCTATGTATAGAAGATCCCCAAGAATCAACAAGAAAACTACTAGAGCTAATAAATGAATTCAGCAAAGTGGCATGATACAAGGTCAACACATAAAAATTGGGTTTTTATACGTCAGCAATGAGAAATCAGAAAAGGAAATTAAGGAAACAGTTTCATTTACAATCGCAGCTAAAAGAGTAAAATAGCTAACAATAAATATAACCAAGTGTCTCAGTTGTCTAGTGCTGCTATAACAGAAATACCACACGTGGGTGGCTTTAACAAATTTATTTTCTCACAGTTTAGGAGGCTGCTGTTAGGTGCCGTCAAGTGGATTCCGACTCATAGCGACCCTGTCTACAACGGAACAAAACACTGCCTGGTCCTGTGCCATCCTCACAGTCTTTGTTATGCTTGAGTCCATTGTTAAAGCCACTGTGTCAGTCCATCTCCTTAAGGGTCTTCCTCTTTTTTCGCTGACCCTCTACCTTATGAAGCAAGAAGTCCTTTTCCAGGGACTGGTCCCTTCTGATTACAAGTCCAAAGTAAGTGAGATGAAGTCTCACTATCCTTGCTTCTAAGGAGCATTTTGGCTGTACTTCCAAGACAGATTTGTTCGATTTTCTGGCAGTCCATGGTATATTCAATATTCTTCACCAACACCATAATGCAAAGGTGTCAGTTGTTCTTCAGTCTTCTTTATTTATTGTCCAGCTTTCACATGCATATGAGGCAGTTGAAAATACCATGGTTTGGGTCAGGCACACCTTAGTCCTCAAAGTGACATCTTTGCTTTTGAATACTTTAAAGAGGTCTTTTGTAGCAGATTTGCCAAACGAAATACATCGTTTGATTTTTTTGCTGCTTCTACGGGGGTTGATTGTGGATCCAAGTAAGATGAAATCCTTGACAACATTTTCTGCATTTATCATGATGTTGCTTATTGGTCCACTTGTGAGGATTTTTGTTTTCTTTATGTTGAGGTGCAATCCATACAGAAGGCTGTAGTCTTTGATCTTCATCAGTAAGTACTTCAAGTCCTCTTCACTTTCAGCAAGCAAAATTGTGTCATGTGCGTATCGCAGATTGTTAATGAGTCTTCCTGCAATTCTAATGCCACGTTCTTCATATAATCCAGCTTTTCGGATTATTTGCTCAGTATACAGATTGAATAAGTATGGCTAAAGGATACAACCCTGACGCACACCTTTCCTGATTTTAAACCACGCAGTATCCACTTGTTCTGTTAGAACGACTATCTCTTGGTCTATATACAGGTTCCTTATGAGCACAATTAAGTGTTCTGGAATTCCCATTCTTTGCAATGTTATCCATAATTTGTTATGATGCTCACAGTCAAATGCCTTTGCATAGTCAGTAAAACGCAGGTACACATCTTTCTGGTATTCTCTGCTTTCAGCCAATTTCCATCTGATATTCCTCATTCCACATCCTATTCTAAATCCAGCTTGAATTTCTGGGAGTTCCCTGTCGAGGTACTGCTGCAACCGTTTTTGAATGATCTTCAGCAAAATTTTACTTGTGTGTGATATTGTTTGATAATTTCCACATTCTGTTGAATCACCTTTCTTTGGAATGGCCACAAATATGGATCTCTTCAAGTCGCTTAGCCAGATAGCTTTCTTACAGATTTCTTGGAATAACTGACTTGAAGATATCCATATTTGTGGCATCCGTTTGTTGAAACGTCTCAATTGGTTCTCCATCAATCTCTAGAGCCCTGTTTTTCACCAATGCCTTCAGTACAGCTTGGACTCCTTCAGTACCATTGGTTCTTGATCACATGCTACCTCCTGAAATGGTTGAATGTCAACCAATTCTTTTTGGTACAGTGACTGTAT